GTGGTGTGTTTGAGGATTTCACCAGTCTGTTCAGATGGTGCTTAGGCGCAGGCATTCCCAGCACTTTTGATGCCTTTCCACCACCAAAGGACGCCAGGGACAGGCGTCTCTGTGCTGGGTCCCGTGGCCTGTGTTTTGTCTGGTTAATTTTGGCAGTGTTTTTTCACAGCAGGGGAAAGTAATACTGCTTTTTTGGCCTTTCCGGAGTCTGTTTTCCCAAAAGGCTTTTGTTCTAGTCATGAATCAAAGTCCCTTTTGACATTTTCCAAGCTAAAAAACATTGTGGGCTTTTGTTTTGGTTTGTTTCTCCCCCTTCCCCAAGTAACTAAGTGTCTGGAAATCATTTGTGAAGATGAAAGGTCTATTGGTAGAACCCAGTTCTGTAATGACAACAGTTCCCTCTTGTAGCTGGGGGACTGCCTGCCAGGAAGTACAGGATGTCCCCAAGGGCATGGTTTTTACTTCCCAGCTAATACCCTGCTCCCTCCCTCTTGTGCAGGAGACGCCATGTCCTGTCCTGCAGGATATTCTGCCCTATTGGCCACAGTGGATCTTCATTCTGATGTTAGAAGTGATTTGGCTCTGCCTGACCTTTTTGTTACCAGTGCCAGGTTGTCCCAGGTAAGACTGTGCACTCACACTACTTTCTGTGGGTCATCAGATTGTTGTTCTGCTGAGCAGAAAATACATTTTATTAGCCACAGGGGAAGAATTGAGGAGGAGAGCTTTTAGGCCAGCAGGGCTAAGGGAAGAACTTAGCATGTGAAAAAACTTCCTTGACTTCAATACTAAAGTACCAGGTGTTGCAAAGGTGACATCATTGTTCCTTTCTGTCTAAAGAAGATGATTAAAATCATTGTAATGTCACCCCTGCCTCTCTCTTTGCCCCTTTAGGGTCAGCACCTGCAGAGCAGCTGGAGAAGCTGGCTGGGTAGCCAGGGCTGAACAGCAGCAGGCCTTTAGGCTCCTGATGCTGCCTGTCCTTTCATGACCAGCTGCTCGTGGCACTGCAGTGATCAAAACAGGCTGGCCACCAGCCAGCTGTCGTGTAGTGCCCGTTTCACCGTGTGCCTCTGGCCAGGGAAAACGTGGAGCATTTAGTGTGCTGGGCCAGTAGACCAGCTACCATTCAGGTGGAGTGTACCAACACTTTGTGCCGTGATCTGTTTGCTTCCCTCCTAGGGGCTATCTTGGTCCTGGGGGCATTGGAGACTTTGGAAACTATCCCAACTGCACTGGAGGAGCAGCTGGTTACATCGATCGTTTGCTTCTTGGAGAGAAGCACATATATCAGCATCCCTCTTCAAGTGTAAGTGGCTTCAGGTTTGCAGTGTGAAGCTGCAGGTGACCTCTGATCACCACTGCCTGGAGGGGCTGGGGTGATACCTGCAGGGGGTGGCAGGCAGAGGAGGCTGGTTGCTCTGCTTGCTCAGGTGTGCTGTAACAACTGTTTTCTCTCTAAGGTGATTTACCAAACGACGATGCCTTATGATCCTGAAGGGATCCTGGGGACCATAAATTCCATTTTTATGGCATTTCTGGGATTGCAGGTACCACTTTTCTTTCTGTCTGTGTGCTATAATGGGAAGATTTGAAGGAACCTTGGAAGTTTTGAGGCATTTTTTAGTTTTTTTAGGTTCTTTATTAAAGGCTGAGACTGGTTTGCACAAAACTTTTTCCAGAGCAATGCATTTATGCCAACTTAGTCTGAGGTTGAGTGTCAGAGAAGTGGAATCTAACCTGGCAGGAGCTTTTTTTTTTTCTCTATCTGCATGCATCTTCTTCAAAGAATTCCCATTCTGAGCCTTTCAGCCACTTAAGTTGGTATAAATCCTATCTATGTTCTCAGTCTTAGCACAGGTAGCTGATGGCAAATATATCTGGCTCTTGAAATGTAGTTACATTTAAGGGCATTTATTCATTTTTGGTATTCTTTTTGTATTAGGCAGGAAAAATTATCTTGTTCTACAAAGACCAGCACAAACAAATTATGAGTCGGTTTGTCATATGGAGCACAGTAATGGTAAGTCAGATTGTTAGGTAGCTCTTCAATAGACTTGTATTTTTATGCAACACAAACTAGTTCTGAAACGTCTTGCAGTGGTTATATAAAATTTAGCAACCTTCTATTTCAGGGAATTATTTCTGCTATCTTGACAAAATGTTCTAAAGAAGAAGGGTTTATTCCCATAAACAAGAACTTATGGTAAGCAAAGAGAATGTTCAACCTTTTTTCTAATGAGATCTGGCTTTATCACATAGTTCTCTAAATAATCTTTCTACTGAAAATGTGTGCAGGTCAGTATCGTATGTGACAACCTTGAGCTGCTTTGCCTTCCTTCTCTTGTTGCTGATCTACTACCTCGTGGATGTCAAGAGGCTGTGGTCGGGGGCTCCATTTTTCTACCCAGGTCAGTAAAATCACGGCAGGAAACTTTCCTCCCCATTCCTCCTACACTGATACCACCTCTCTGTGTTTTCTGCAAATCTAAAAGAGTTAGGATTTAGAGTGAGGTAGCCTGAAGGATGCCAGAATGGTTAATTTGCGCTGAATCTGCGTAGAACTGGGACACTTGAGACCAGCTATTTAGGAGAGAGGGACTGTCAAGTCTGTAAATGAGGGCTGAAAGTTGCTATTGCCCAATGGCTGTTCTCAGTCTGGTCTCAAGTTGAGGTCCCAGGGAACAGCTGCTTAGTACCAAGCAAAATACCACAGCTGTCTCGTAGTTGGTTTTGGAAAGGACTGCTGAGACTTGCGTAACCTAATGGTAAACTCGAAGGCCTGTCAGCAGAGTAATACCACTTCTGAATATGTGGAAAATGAAATCCCCTGAGCAACCGTGTAGGTTCTGTCCCTGTGTTTTTAGATAAGCCCATCTCCCAAAGCACCCCCTGTGGTTTTAACCACACTGGGCTCGTGACAAACATCTGAGCACAGAATGCAAACCCACAGCGGAGGGAAACTTTCAGCAGCTTTGGTGTCTGGTGTTTGGACAGGAAGAGGGGTGGGGTGACAGCATGGTATCGTATCCCCTACCAGAAATCCCAGAGCTTTGAAGGGCAATCAGCATTTGTTTGTAAAGGCAATAGATCCGACCAAATGGGCTGGCGCTTGGCCACCCTGAAGACAATAACTGTGATTATTCTCCTTGTCAATGAAATTGCAGGATTTGGTTGTATTTTCAATTTAGCATATGGGTTGCCTGCATTTCAATAAACATTTTGGGGGAGAGCGCCCCTGAGGCTGTATTTGAAAAGACCTCTGTAGCATCTTTGGGGCAGTAACACTAACTGTTGTGGCGAGCTGTTGTCGTCTGGGTGCCACCCTGTTTCATCAGCCTGGCATGCCTCTGCCTGCATGCTCTGAAGCTCAAACCTGCTCTTTCAGATGGCATGACCTGTGCTTGCTTTCAGGAATGAACTCAATCCTGGTCTACATTGGACACGGAGTGTTTCAAAACTATTTCCCTTTCAAGTGGAAGATGCAAGACAGTCAATCCCACGCAGAGCATCTGACTCAAAACCTCACTGCAACAACTCTTTGGGTCATAATATCCTATTTGCTTTATAGGAGAAGGATATTCTGGAAAATCTGATAAGAGGTGTAGCGGGCCTAGATTCTGATGGGGCAAGTGCATAAGGCAGATGATTAGCCTGGAATACTGCCACTCGTGCTAGGCTGTATTACTAAAAAGGGATACTAGTCCAAGTTTACAGTGCCATGGAAGTTGTAAAGGGACAGTGTTTTCCTATTCAGCAAAAACTTACTAGTCTGCTGCAGTTGCTCTCTTGCTGTTTTCTGTCTTCGGTAAGAATTTTACTGATCTCCCTCCTTCATATGAAGAAAGTGAACATACAGCACCAGCTGGGCAGTCAGACACCCTGGTGGTGCTGATGAAAGGGACCTGGGTGGTGGCTGCAGGGGCTCATCAGAACAGGGCTGTGGCAGACCCCCCTGACTCAGCCACTGGGGTTTGTGTAGACCCTTGGCACCTGCTGCCTGCATGCCACACACTGGCACTCGCCCCCCTTTCTGACCCTGGGGTGCCGGTGTCGTCGGCCCGGTGACCGTCTGGGATTGCTCAGGGGCACCTCTTTGCTACAGCCTGCTGCGGGAAGTGCTGACCCAACTGGGCATCTGCATCCCATCCTTCCCAGCTGGTCCTGGGTCACAGCCTTACGTTTGGGAGCCTGCTGAAGCCCGTTGGCCAAGATCTCTTCTGGTAGCTCATTACTGCCCACGCTGCTGCCACGGGTTATTCTGGGCCTTGTTTTACGGAGCCCTGGCACAGGTGGGGTCCGAGTCCCGCGTGCTACACTCTAAGCGTGCAGGAAGGTCAGTTCCTACTGACTTTGTGTAGTCACCTGGAGTATCACCAAAGTTCGGTCAAAGCATTCCTCCTGGTAGATTTATGTAAGGGCCCTGAATCTGAAAATTCACAGGTAGAATTCAGCCAGAAAGGAAGCGATAGCAGACCAAGTCAATGTAATATAATAGTTTTTGGGAACTCACTCATGCTTTGATTTCCAAACTACTGCAAATAAAAAGCCTGAAATACCCTGCTACGTTCCCTGTGCATGTCTCAAGGTGGAAAGAACTGAGATGCACACCTTGGTATAACGCTATGGAAAACAAACAGGACATTACAGAAGACTTCTTAAACAAGGTTTTATTTATAACTTTTGATCTGCCCAGGTAAGCAGACCAAGCGGTGGACAAACACTGAGCAGGGTTTGCGTATGGCAGAACCTGTAACTCGGGGAAGGGAACAAGCGCTCTTTCTCAAGGTGGAAAGAACTGAGATGCACACCTTGGTATAACGCTATGGAAAACAAACAGGACATTACAGAAGACTTCTTAAACAAGGTTTTATTTATAACTTTTGATCTGCCCAGGTAAGCAGACCAAGCGGTGGACAAACACTGAGCAGGGTTTGCGTATGGCAGAACCTGTAACTCGGGGAAGGGAACAAGCGCTCTTCAAGAGGCGCTGGCCGCGGTCCAGCCCCTTCAGGCCAGCGTCTGAAGCAGCAGGATCTTCTCATTAATGCAGAACCTGTGCAAGACCACCATGAGGTTCTCCCCACAGCGCGAGACCTGGCGCTCCATGGCCAGGCGGAAATCCTCCTTCACGCCTTTCGTTATGCCCCGGGTGACTGTGTGGTGCCTTAAGCCAGGGAGGAGAGACAGACAGACAGACAAAATCGAGTCACCGTTATTTGGTGGACGACAGGAATTTAAAGGTCCTGTGTGTCGCTTACTACAGATCTACTGTCCATACCTGAGTCTGTGTAAGGAGAGCCAAATAGCCTGTGCCACACTATTTGTTAGAACCCCTATGTTTCGTAGTTTACAAGTCTTTCAACAGTTACAAACTCCACAGAAGTCTGTGCTCTCTCTCACTGCTTTGATTATGACTGCTGGGGTGGGGGGTGGGGAAACTTGCTCTTCTGGCTAACAGGAAAATCTCTCAACCCAGCATGTACAGAGTTCCTGCTTAGAGAAAGGAATTTTTTTTTCTCTGCCTTTGCTGCCCAGGCCACTCCCTGTTCATAGTCCTACAAATGGCTGGGGAAGGGGACAGATGGCTGCCACCATAAAGAGCAGAGGGCTTCTTCTACCAGTAGGAAAGTACAGGAAGGAGTGATAATCCTGTGGGCACTGAAAACTTCTTGGCTAATGAAATCAAGCCAGGCTGTGAGTCTGCACCAGTAGAAACCAGCTCTCGTGGAGAAACCAGACACCAGGCATTTATTCTGAGCAGTTCAGGACTTGTTTTCAAACAGAACAAAGGTCCCACTACTAAGCAAGCTAAAGCAATGCTGACTGGGGCAACTCTTGGGATATACCCCTGGTAGAGGACATTCTTATCGACAGTTCTTTGTCCTCACACTGGCCTTTAGCACCTGATACTGGTATCTTGTCCTTGAAGCAATGTTCTGCAGCACCAAAACACTACACTTCACTGGCACTGGTCCAGAACTGGGTACATAAGATCAGGACTTTGTAACACCTCCCTTCAAACTCTACCTGGGAAGGGAAGCAAAAGATACACCCTGGAATGAGCACCCTAGCACTACTAAAGGAGTAACATAAATTAAATTGGTGAGAAAAGCATAATGGTAATGTTGAGACAAGTCCTGAGTCATGGGTAAGAAGGGAAGAGCTGGGCCAAACCCAGCAAGCACACTGCAAGACAGAAAGGAAATAAAAAGTACAGGGTGAGGGCATCTGTGCCAGTCCAGAGATCCTGGAAACGACAAAGGGAAAAGTCTGGGAGCTACCCTCACCAACAGCACCACCCCAGCTTCACTTAAATCACCAAGTCCAGCATTTGAGAAGAGATATCTCTGCCAAAACAGTAGAGACCTCTCTGACACGTGAAAAGGCAGAGACTAGCCTGGAGACTCTACTGGGCAATTTGTTGAAGCAAAACTGCACTGAAAATACTCCAGCATATCAGAAGCTTATGGGATGAGACCTGCTTTCCATCTTTACTGTCTTAAACACTGCTGGCAGCCAAGTGCTACAGTCAGTTACAGCCTAAAGGAGAACATGCAACCAGCAGCTACTGAGCAAGCCAGCAGCGCTTCTGAAGATCCTGTGTCATCTAACAGCTGGAAAACAGGCAACAGAATTCACAACAACTTGAATGAAGCAAAGTAGCTACAGATGGATCCGGTAACCAGTATCTTGAAAATAAAGGGTTATGCTCTTGCTAACATGTGACTGAACATCAGTATCATTTGGGGGGATTTCTACATTTTTGCTTGAATTCAACAGTGATTATTAACTTGAAAGGACATGGATACTGGCAACTTATGGGAAAAAGAAAAATAAATGTTAGAGCAGAACAACATGGTTTGCCAGGCAATGTAGGCACAAATGGAGAAAAAAAAAAAAGATAAATACTGAGTAACAAATTGCTGAAAACCATGGGCAGTAAAACATGTTGACAAAACACAGCACACTATGAGCAGGGTTTTTCCACTTGGTACCTGTCAGCAGTCTGTATGCTGGGCTGTAGCACAGGTATGAATTCCTGCT